GTAGGAAGCAGAGGCAGGCAGAGCTCTGTGAGTTCAAGGCCAGTCTGGTCTATAGAGTGAGTTCCAGGACAGCCAGGACTGTTACACAGAGAAACCCTGTCTCGACTCAGCAGGGACCTGTTTTCCATGCAAGTCTGGCAACCTGATTTCAATCCCCAGAACCTACATGTAGGTGGGAGAGAACACAACTCCGCAAAGCTGTCTTCTGACCTGCACACACTTGCCAGTGCACACACACCACCACACACACTACACACATAGTAAATACAATTTCACAAAATTTGGAGTGAGGTATGGTATCTTCTGCCTATCATACCAGCACTGGGAATGTGGGGACAGGAGGATTCTAGGGTTCACTGGCAGCCAGATTAGCCACGTCCATGAGGACCCTGCAACACACAATAAGGTGGTGCGGAGGTTAAGGTGTTGCTGCTCTTCCAGACGACACACACTTGACTCCCAGCACCCACAAGGAAATTAACATCTGCGATTCCAGTTCCAGGGGAATCTACTGTCTTCTGGCCTCCACAAGCACCAAACACAAATACAGCATGTGCTGCACAGATATGCTGCAAGCGAAACAACCATATACATAAATAAAATGTAAACATTAGATAAAATCAAATAAGGTGGAGGACAATTGAGGAAGACACAAGACACTGACTTTTGGCTCCAAATGCATGTGCACATAGGTATGGATGCACACTCATACACCTTCACACACACACACACACACACAGAGAGAGAGAGAGAGATACATAGAGAAAAAAAGAACACACACACACACACACACAGAGAGAGAGAGAGAGAGAGATACACAGAGAAAAAAAGAACAAAAGAAATAATCACAATCCAGATGTCAGAGCACATTCATCTAATCTTAGAATTTGGGATGTTGAGACCGAAGAATTGTTGAATTCACAACCACACCAAGTCCCAAAGCAAGATTCTGGCTCAAAAAAATAAGTGAATTGTGCTAGGGATATAGTTCAGTTGTTAGAGTGCTTGCCTAGCATGCACAAAGGCCTGGGTTCGCTCCTCAACATGGTATAAGTCAGATGTGGTAGTTTATGGCTACATAGAACCAGAGCCAACCTTGACTACCTACCATGCTTGAGGCCAGCCTGGGATACATGAAACTAAATATATTTTGGGGGTGTGGCGTTCGATACAGGGTTTCTCTGTGTAACCCTGGCTCTCCTGGAACTCACTCTGTAGACCAGGCTGGTCTCAAACTCAGAGATCTGCCTGCCTCTGCCTCCCGAGCAATGGGAATAAAGGCATGCACCAGCACCCAAAAAAGCCATAATTTTTAAAAATTAAAAGCTGGGAGGTGGTGCATCACACCTTTAAACCCAGTGTGAGTCAGAGACAGGCAGATCTCTGAGTTTGAGACCAGCTTGGTCTACAGAGCAAGTTCCAGGACAGTCAGGGCCACACAAAGAAACCCTTTCTCAAAAACAAACAAAAAGTACATTAAAAAGCAAAACAAAGAAACAACATGGCAAGAAGTGTTGTTCAGTGATAGAATACTTGCCCAGCACACTCAGGGCTCCCTCCCCTGCTAAATAAACCACAGCACTAACAGCTCAGGGCCATCCAGGTGCCGGGCGCTGGAGTTGTGTTGAACCTGATAGTTGTGTTGCTTGGTTCCGGTCCAACACGCGCTGTACCACTACTCTTGCTAAGCTGAGCGTGTCTCTTTAACATTATTTTGATTTTTTGATACAGGGTTTCTCTGTGTAGCCCTAGATGTTTTCGAACTCACAGAGATCCGTCTGCCTCTGCCTCACAAGTATTGGAATTAAGGGCGTGCGCCACCGCTGCCCAGCTGACTCTTAACATTTGAAAAATATTACAGTTCTATTTTTAAGGGCGTGAGGGCACAGAGCATGGAGTCAGCGGCCTCCTTTCACCACGTGGACCCACACAGGCTGGAAGTCAGATTGTGTGCAAGCTCCTTGACCCACCCAGTCATCTCTGACCCCACAGCCTGAATTACTGTACTCTGTCCCTGCCCCTTAAAGTAAGCAGGGCCTGGGTGACCACACGCATTGTAGCCATAGGCGTGTTCTGGAAAGTTCCATCCTCTCCCTCCATGCAATGTGCATAACCAAGCACGAGGATGGTCGGACAAACTTCCATATACTTTTTAAAAAATTTATTTATCTTTATTTTATGTGCATTAGTGTTTTGCTTGCATATATGTCTGTGTGAGGGTATTGGGTCCTCATGAACTGAAGTTATAGGCAGTTGTGAGCTGCCATATGATTGGTAAGAACTGAACTCAGGACCTGTGGAAGAACAACCAGTGCTCTTATCTCTCCAGCCCCCCAAACTTCCATATTCTCAAGGATAGCCCTGAGCAGTTCTTGCAGTCACAAAATGCTGAATCTGGCCTTCCTAGTGCCTAGAAAAAAAAAATGGTTCTGTATGAGAAATTCTGGACTTTAAATTCTGGACTAAAAAGCTCAATGGCTCCCTCTTGTTTTTTTGAGACGGAGCTTCATAAAGCAAGGCTGGTTTTGAACTTACTAATGTAGTCAAGAATAACCTTGAACTTGGGGTCTTCCTGCCTTTACCACCATGCTTGGTTTGTGCATGCCAGGCCCTCTAATAAGTGAGTCTCCAGCCCTCATTTATTTCTGACAGAAGCCTGCAGCAAAGTTACAGTGAACACAAACTCCGCATTGAGAAAAACAATGAAGTCTTGAAAAAGTGAAGGAAATGTGCCAGATCATACAGCCGGTGAGTAGCAGAGCTGAAATTCATTCCAGGTCTTTGCTCCTGCCATACTCCCCAAGGAAAGGGGGATCCTTACAGGAAGACAAGCGGATCAGCAGGAAATGTCTATTGAACACATGTCTACAGACTGAATGCTGCCAAGTGCCACATGCCTGTGCAGGGGACACAATGATATAGCCCCAGCCCATGGAGCTTCTATTTCAGTAGAATTAGATAAGCAAGTATATATTTGGTCAAGGAGTGTAAGTACTAGGAAAAACTTGGGCAGGTAAAGGGGGTGTGAGCTGCCATGTGGGTGCTGGGAATTAAACCTGGATCCTCTGCAAAAACAGCCAGTGAACAACTGAGCCATCTTTCTAAGCCTGAGAGAGGAAGTCACAGACGTCTGAGGTGACCTGCCCACAAGCAGGGAGAAATAAGGAATGGCACGAGTCAATGTAGGCCAGGCGACAGAGGCCCTAGGCAGGACATGCTGGGGACTTCTGGGTATGCACGGTGAAGGAGCATGAAGTGATGGGAGGGGGTACTGCAGGCAAGGGCCACAGGTGAGGTGGTGGGACAGCAGGATGGAGAGGCGGTTGCGCTGTGGTAAGAAATTGTGGCTTTTACTCAACGAGACAGGAAATCGCAGGAAGGTTTTGATCACAAAACAGATCCAATCTATAACCTGACTGATTTAAGGGACAATGAGAGAAGAGCAGAAGGGGGTAAAGAGGGAAGGGATGAGACGAGACAGGTAAGGAGCCATGTGGGGAGTGGAGGAAGCCTGAGTGTGTGGAGTTCTTGAGTTAATGCGTGTTGTTGGCATGAGCAGGCATGTCAAGGACCCCTAGCCTCAGACTCATGGGAAGAGTGCAGCTCCACCCCACCCCCAGGTGAGGCTGAAGAACAGCAAAGTCTTCCCCTGGCCCACATGCAGATGTTCACACATCTGCACAGTGTCCATCATAGCTTTTTCCTCTGGGATATTACATCCTCAAAACTGTTCCCTTATAGAGCCTGTTCCTACTGAGTAGTTAGAGCTCCTCCTCATTCACTGGACACTATCTGTGTGCACTATCCCATCTCCTCGTTCAGATGTGTGCACTAACCCACTTCTCTGTCCAACCTTATATAATAAACACGCTGTGTGTTTTTGTCTTCCTCATTCTATCCCTGAAGGACAAAAAGATGGGAACCTCAGTAGGGCAGGAGATGAAGGTGAGCAGCACCCCCACACTGCACACATCAAGGACAAAGCTGACATGGGGAAGAGGGGAAGAAAGCATGACCGTAAGCCTTGTGGAGAAAGCAGGGGAACCGGGTTATTTGTGAGGTGCCAGAGTGGGTGGACCTGTGGATGGTTAAGGCCTGGTCCTCAAGGAGTGGGCATTCAGTTTCATTCAGCTCCCAGGATGCTAGTTCTCCATTCTCCTCTCCCCTTGGCCACTCCCTCACCTCTAAACAATGAAGCACCCAGGGGTGTCAAGAAGTTAGTCAGGTGTAGCCAATGGTATTTTAAGAAAACCGAGAGCCCGGCATGGTGGCACACCTGTCACCTCAGCACCTGGGATGCGAATGCAGGTGATCAGGGTTCAAGGCCAGGAAGGGAGACAGGATGAGAAGGGAGGGAGGGGGATGGAGTCAGGGGTTTGTATCTGATGCACCGACAACTATAGTAGAACAGGGCAGGCACTGACTGGGGTCCTCAGTCAGGGGTTTTGTTTTGTTTTTTAATTTTTACTTCTTCAGACAGAAGTATGCTATGTGTCCTAGGCTGTCCTCAAACTCAAAACCCTCTTGCCTCGGCCTCCAGAACGCTGAGAATGTCAAGTGCCATGAAATCTAATTCTTAGTATTATGCTGGAGACAGTCAACGTTCAAACTATAGCACCAAGAAACCTGACAACTACCAAGGTTCTAGGAGAGACAAGACCAAACTGGAGTAGGATTAGCCCTGGGGACAGAACACAGGTGGGGTGTACCTCTGGACTCACTGTGGGAAAAGCCCTCAGGACAGACACGACCAAGAAAGATCTGTTTTCTTTTCCACACCAAGAAAGTTGCTAGGCATATGCCAAAGCCAGAGTAAGTCATTCCTAGACACAGCCCTGCCTGGGCTGAGAGGAAGGGCAGCAGTAGAAGAGGAGACACCATGCTTGGGAATGAAATGTCACAAATTGTTCTGCCTCTAGGAAGAGTACCATGTACCACTCCCTTCGCTCCCCTCACAGGACATCTAGGACATCCCAGACAAAGTTTCACAAGACATAACCTAACAAATACTAGGATCATTTTTAATTTAAAAAAAAAAAAAGCCCACCAAGTCTGCGGGCGGTGCTTTAAAATACAGGGGAACCACCATGAGCACCAGAAGAACCTCACTGGCATGCAGGGGTCCCTCGGTGAGAACAAAGGCTTTCCAGAAGTTTCCACATAATTGTACACTGTCCCCGTTTTTAGAAGGCCTTTACTGAGGCAAGTGTGGTGGCACACAACTTTGATCCCAGCACTCAGGAGGTAGAGGAAGGCAGATGTCTCTGAGTTCAAGACCAGTCAGGTCTACAGAGTGAGTTCCAGGACAGCCAGAGCTACAATAGTGAGACCCTGTCGGGGGGGGGGGGGGGGCGGCGGGGGAGTCCTTACTGAGAGGACACAAGGCACAGAGTTATAGGAACTGGTATGAGGTCAGTCAGCAAGAGACACACAGGAAGGACCAGAAATCCATCCCCTCCTGAAATGCTACCCAAGGGTCATTCTATAGCTACTGAAGCTGCGATCTTCTTCAGGAAGTAGTGGCAAGGGCCAGGCTGGGACTTGATGCCTGTGACCTGGATCACAGCCTGGCACACAGGATTCCCTGAGGCGGATGCCCCAACAGCCCCTTGTCTGTGACACATCTCCTGACTGTCAAGCCCAGCCCTCCTGGCGGAAAACCAGCTGCACAGCTTCATCCACATCATCAACGACGTGGGAAGCCTTGAGGAGCTCTGGGCTGAAGCTGAAGTCTCGGTGGCCGTGGAATGGAAGCTGTGCCCCTTCGGAGCCTGGGTCCTGAGAACTGTGTATGCCCGTGCATACCAGGATGGAGGCACAGCTCTGGGTTGCTGAAGGCCGCCGCTTCTGCTGTCCACCAGTCCCACACTCCCCCTCTCCACGCTTCGCCATTTGCAGGTGCTGGTTGTACAGGTTGGCACCATAGACATCAGACACAGGGTTATCACTGGTAGGGCAGCAACACCGAGAAGAAAAGAGGAGAAAACCCAAACTTAATGTGGCAAAGCCACCAGAGCAGAGACCAGCCTGGGGGTGTGACTCAGCTGCAGGGAAGCCAGGGTAGCGTGGGCAGATGGGCAGAGGAAGCCAGAGATGGAGATAGAGGGCTTACCCTATAGCATAGAGCTTCCTGATGGGGGCAGACCAGCCCCGCCTCTCAGCCTGCTGCCTGATCACGTCCTCTGCATACTGGTAAGTGAGGATGCTGGGTTTGCCCATCAAGCCCTCATACTTCAGCTCCTTGCCCGTTACTTTCCGGTAGATGGCTTCCAGGCAAAGCAGAAAGGTGCCATGACCAAACCTGCCCAAGAAGAGGTCTCAGCAATCCAGCCTTCAGGCCACCTGCTGTTCTTGAAGCTGTCTATGCACCAGACCTGAATTCCCCTCCCTGTAGCCATTACGCATGAAGAAAATGAGGGAAGAGCAGGCAATTTTCCCAGGGTAGTAAACTAGGGCCAAAACCTGATAGCCTCACCTCCAAGCCTTATGTTGGTTTTGTTTTTGTAGCTATTATTATGTACGCGTGCGTGCTGCTGTGACCAGCAGAGGACAACTGTATGGAGTCAGTTCTCTCCTTCCACCTTTACATGGATGGGTCCCAGGATCAAACTCATCTCACCAGGCCCCTAATCCCTAAGACTGGATGCTATTCTACAGCCTCTGGCGCCATCCTTCCAGTGGCGCACACTGCCCACTAGGTGGAAAGAGCATGCCCACCAGTCCCCTGAAGCTAGGCGTGGTCGCTTGTCTAACCTATATGGGGAAGCGCCACAAGCCGGTCAACAGAAGCACAAGTGCTGGATAGCTTTGATCCAATGTCCTTAAAACAAGGAGGGCATGCTCTCCTCTGTCCTTCTTATGGTCTGGATCTTACATGGTCCCCATAAGTCAAGAAGGCGTGGTCCCTAGCTGATGATACCTTGGGAGGGTGGAATCTTCAGCAAGTGGAGCCTACTAGGAAACAAGTCACTGGCGGCATGCGCCTGCCTGTCTCTCTACCCCTCTGCTCCCAGCTGCCATGAGGGAAGCGGTTTTTGTACCATAATGTTCGACCCATCACAATGTTCTGGTCACCATAGGCCCCAAATCAACAGAGCCAAAATTGATCTTCCTCCTTTTAAGTTGCTAACTTAGGTATTTTGTCAGGGTTGCAAGCTAACAGCCCTACTCCACCGCTCTAGGTGGCAACCTAAAATGCTGACATAATGCTGACAGTCATTCTGGGTTCTACATGAAGGATTAAAGATTATGCTTCAGGAAAGTGTGTGTTTCCTTGATAGAGGAGAGACTAAATACAGGCCCCAGATTGCCAACCTGACTTTTTTTTAATGAGAAAGCAATAAACTATCTTGTGTAGAGTAATTTTGTCTTCCATCCTCAGTGCTAAGCCAAACCCTAATAGTCACTGTGCTTGGACTTACATTCAGGATCACTCATTTACACAAGAATAACATTTTCTGGCTGGGCATGGTGATGCATGCTTTTAACACTGGCACTCGGGAAGTTGAGAAGTGATGTGGGAATCCCCTCTGTATGCTGTGGATATGCTTTATTATCATTGGATAATAAAGAAGTTGCTTTGATCTTTGATAGGGCAGAATAGAGATAGGTGGGAAAACTAAACTGAATGCTGGGAGAAAGTAGGCAGAGTCAGAGAGAAGCCAGGTAGCTGGCTCAGGAGATAGACACCAGATGCTGGATGGAACCTTACCGGTAGGCCACAACCTCCTGGTGATACACAGATTAATACAAATGGGTTAATTTAAGATGTAAGAGCTAGCTAGAAATACGTATAAGCTAATAGGCCAAACAGTGTTTTAATTAATACAATGTCTGTGTGGTTATTTACGGTCTGGGCAGCCAGGAACAAACAAGTAGCCTTCGCCAACAGAGAAGCAAACAGATCTTTGTGAGTGCAGCCTTGCTTATACAGGGAGCTCCAGGCCAACCAAGGCTAAATGATAAGACCCTATCTCAAACAAAACAACAACAAATAACTCCATTTTCTTTGTCTTTGTTTTTATTTTGTGAAGTAGAACTTTGCTGTATCCCAGGCTGGTCTGAGGCTGATGTTAAACGTGTGTTTTTTCTGTCTCTATCTTCTCAGTGCCAGAGTTGCCGCTGTGAACCACCACATCCAGCTAACTTTGAGATTGTTGAGTAAACAGTCAGGCATGGTGGCACACACCTGTAATCTCAGCACTCAGGAGGCGGGTGGAGGATAATTATGAGTTTAAGGCTAGTTTGGACTACACTGAGTCACAGACAAGTCAAAGCTACAGAGTGAAACCCGTCTCCAACAATACAAAAATAATTGTGTGGGGAAAAAAAAAGTCTCAAGCCAGGTGATGGTGGCTACACACCTTTAATCCCAGTAGCACTCGAGAGGCAGAGGCAGGCAGATCTCTTTGAGTTTGAGGCCAGCCTGGTCTATAAAGTGAGTTCCAGGACAGGTTCCAAAGCTACACAGGGAAACCCTGTCTTGGAAAACAAACAAACAAACAAAACACAAGACAAACAAAATCTCAAATATGGCTTCTCTGAATGGAAAACTCATCTCAAATCTGGTCTATAAACTAGTTTTGCCCTTGTTTTTCAACTCATAGCTACATACCCAACTCTCACTGATCCCCATCTAGAATCAACATGTCCTAACCTATGAGTAACAGAGGAAACACCAAACCTCATGCTAAAGAACACACTTTAAACGTGACGGGAACTAGGGGGAACTGAGGCAGGAAGACAATGAACTGAAGTCAACTTGAGCTACATGGTTCGGGCCTGGCTCACAGAGAGAGAAAAGGAGACAAGAGCATCACGGGAAGGAAGCCCTGCCTCTTCCAGGCTGTCTGGGGTCTAGAACACCCTCTAGAGTTTTTCAGTCTCTGGAAAACTGAGAAGACACTGGGTTCTGGAATCCCAGTCAGAGCACCATCAGCTGGCTTCACAACAAGGCACCCTGAAGGTCACAAAAGAGAAAAGGGCAGGATGCGGATATCCACAGCTGGGTCTCAGTACCTGGCTCTATACCATGGGAATAAACCTGGTTTATAATTCCAGTTTTCCCCATCCTAGGGCTTACATACAAAGGCAAACAGAGAAGTGAAGGAACCAGTACAGAGGGGAGAATCTTGAATACACACCCACTGATATACCTTAGAACTACCTATTTGATGGACGTGTTCTGAGATCAACAGGGTAAAAGGGCACATATTAAAAATCACTCAACACATCTTCTTGCTCAGTAATCTGTAGTTTTAGTTTAATAATTGACACGAAGTTAACTCTTGAAAGCCCTTAGTCTCAGCGGCCATGTTAGTGTGGTACCTACAGGGCTTATCAGGGAAAAGTCAGGGATACTGTCTCCTCACCTGGGCATCTTGGCTTCAGCCATCCACAGGAGATCCATGTTGCTAGCCAGGACAGGGAGGTGGGGATATGGAACTGTCCCTAGGCCGGTCCCAGGGTTCCCATTGCTAAGGAGGACATCCATAATCAGCTGCAGGTTTGTCTCCCAGCGGACTGGCTCCCCAAGAAGGAGGATCCCTAAAAATCAAAGGCACAGGAATAAGAGAGCAGGGTACTTGGCCTGCCCTTTTGTGGTGGGAAGACCCTTCAGAGACAACAGGAATCAGTTAGCAATACCCACCCAGAGCTACAGGTCTTTACTAAGGTGCACATCTGGGCAAGAGTATGGTTCCCTGAGTATCCCTAATCAAGCCACATCCCAGGACACCCTGGGCGAACAAAGTCAGGGCCCAGCAAGGAGCACCCTAAGGGTGTCCTTTGTGTCCACTGCTGTTTCACAGAAGCAGCAGATCTCATGCTGCTGCTTCTGTTGATGGGACTCTTCCCAGCACACCTTACCCCACAAGTATGACTGTTCTCAACAGGGCCTGGCTCTCTCAGTCACATCTCTGAGCCTAATAGCCAAGCAGAAGAACTTGGGCTGAGGGGAGCCTCGAGCTCTAATCCTAATTCAGCCAAGTTTTCTGTGGAACTGTGCCAGTTACTCACCGCTAAACCTCAGTTGCCTCAACTACATTTGAAATGACAAGGAACATGGGCCCCCTGAAATATGGCTCAGGAATCAAGGGCTTGCCTAGCATGAACAAGGCCCTAAATCCGAACCCTAGCAATACAATAAATACATAAAAACTAAGGCCTGGCATAGTAGCATACGCCTAGAGCACTACCACTTGGGAGGTGGAGACAAGATAATAATTTAAAGATGGTTGTGAGGTACTAGGATTCAAACCTTACGCTGCAAGAGCATCAAGTATTCTCAGTTGCTAAGCCATCTCTCCAGCCTTACAAACTGCTTCTGTACAGTTTAACAATTTTTTAAAATGATCATATAATCAAGAGACTCAGCCGGGCAGTGGTGGCGCGTGCCATTCATGAGACAGAAGTGGGCAGATCTCTGTGAGTTCGAAACCAGCCTGGTCTACAGAGTGTTCCAGGACAGCCAGGGCTACACAGAGAAATTCTTTCTTGAAAAACAAACAAAAAATTATCAAGAGTTGGTCTCCATTTGAGACATCACAGCAATGGCGATTCTGCCCCCACACCTGTACTGCACTGTAGATACAGCCTGTCTCTACTCTGGAGCAGCCCACAATCATTTACTTCTCAGATAACTTTAACAGTGAAACATTTACAATCTTCTCACCAGGACATTTTCTTTACACTTCAGGTACAGTGAGGGCATTACACTACACTAATTACTTTGTTTGGTTTTGAGATAAGAGTCTCATTGTGAAGTCCAGATTAGCCTTATCCTTCAAGTCAGTCCCGGCTCCCCAAGTGGGAGACTACAAATGCACCACCACACTGGCCACTGATTGCTTTCTGATGTGGGTCATGGGAAAGTTATTTTATTTCAGGAAGGCAACAAGATGTTACAATGTCTTTACTGCCCAAGGGGAGAGCTAAGCAACCCTGAACTGGGCTGTCCGTACCCATCTCCTCCAGAGTTGCTGAGCTGACAGTTCCTCACCGCAGTAAGAACCATCAATACACATCTGAGTAGTGAGCCTAGCTGAGGGCACAGCTAAAGCTAGATGCCAAGGGACTCGGGGCCTGGTGGGCAGTGCCACCTTCAGCACTCTGCCTAGGAATCTGAACACAGAGAGGGAAAGAAGGAACCCACATCCACCCACGCACATGCCCCCTTTACCTTCAATGGCAGGGAAGTCATTCCTCGGGTGCTGCCAAAAGACAAGAAGAGGCCCATCAGTGCTAGCCACTCTCCATTCCTAGTATCCAGTCTCTAGAGTTGAGTAGCAGGACAGACAGGTTTCACACGGCTCAGAGACCACCAGTGGCAGAGGGAACGTAGAAAGGAGAGGCACAAAGGGAAAGACAAGGCCCAGACTGGGCTCAACACAGGCGGAGGGACGCCAAGTGGCAAGTCGGCCAGGAGGGGCCGTGTCAGTTGTGCGTCTCCAGGCATGACAGAAAACAAGGTCCTGGTCAAGTAGGTCAATCAGGGTGCTAAAGGAGGAAGTGGCCTGAGAGAGGAGCTCTCTGAGCATGAGGATTCTCTTATCTTCATACCAGTTCTAGTGGATTTCTCTCAATTAGCCTTGGGCCTATTCTTCCTTGTGTCATTGCAGTCTTGGCTCTGAGCTGAGCCACCTCTCCTGTGTTGAACTCAGCCTTGCTGCTATTCTGAGTTCTGCTAAACTAAGCTATAGTTTAGTTCTTCACAAAACTTAGTGACTCGAGAGAAAGCTCTCAAAGGATAGGATCTGTTCTATAACTAGAAAATTCTGGAAGGAAAACTTATAATCTATTTTCTACCAAATCAATGAAGTAAGTTTATTTATCTATAATTGCATTTCATCAAATCCTAAATTGTTGACATAAGCTATTAAGTATATATAAATTTTCAAAAGGAATAGCCAATGGGCACCTCAAGAGCCATACTCCAAAGGGTGGTCAATGAGTGGCCTCGAACTGATGATCCCAAAAAGAAATCACGGGCTGGGGTGTAGCTTAGCGGCGGAGACTTCCCAAGCCGGTACAACCCTGGTTTGACCACCAGAACTGCAAAAAGAAATCAAGTCACTGTGTTCAAATATGAGTTAAACCACGGGCAGTGGGAAGACACAGACTCATCAGTGTTTTCTCCTCACAAGGCAGGCTCTTTGGACTGTGCTTCAGGGTAAAGGAGCAGCAGTGAGTCCCGCACCAAGGTTACTGATTGCCTGAAGAAAACCTGGGAAAGCCACTGCTAAATGGAGGAAGTGTTACAACATAGCACAAGGCAAGGGCGAGGAGCCCACTGCTTCTCTCAACCATGCTTATCTTCCAGAGAACACAATCCTTGGCCAGATACACCTCTCCAAGCCCAGTGCAGAAGCAACCACAAAACAAAATGCAGCTCCTAGCAGAGGGGTAGCAAGATCAACAAGGGGAACCAACACAGGGAAGAGGAAGACAACCAGGAGTTTGTGGAGGGTGAAGTGACCCACCCTGTCCTTATTACCGTGGTCTTTGGCCGCCGCTCGAGGTCCACCATGTCCAGCTCTGGGAAGGCTGTTCGCAACTCATCTATTGTTACCACATTCTGGAAGCCTAGTCTGGAGCAAGATCAGGGCAACAAAGCTACATAGTTCTGAGGAAGATGTTTTATAGATACCTCAGGTCACAGGTGAGCAGATCCAGGCCAGTCCTGACCTTGGCAGGCAGGGAGCTTTCACAAACCCCACTGGCACCAAGTGGCAGGCTGTTGACTGCATAGGCAGAGCAGACACATACAACACCAGTGTGATCCTTGTGTCCCACTAGGGCCCCTTCCAGGTACCAGATCCTACACCAGCAAGACCCAGAGAACAGAGGCCAAACCCACGTGTACCCAAGGAGCTTGTGCCACACGCAGAGCCCATTCAAACTGGTGCTCAATGAACAGAATAGTGCAGCCCTAAGTACTGGGTTGGGAGGAGATTCTTCTGTGGATGTGAACTGGTGAATAGCTATTTCCTCTGGATCGAAACATTCCCTCCTAGAAGGTGGGAATCCCTGAAAGTCACCAGAGCCACAAGCTCCCTCCCTGGTCTCCTCACACTTTCCTCCCCGGGGATGCAGCTTCACCAGCCAGCACTCATGCTAGCCCACGCTTCTCTGGGATGGGCTTTTGGTGACAGGGCTGCCTCTCACCCACACTCCTATAAGGTAACCCCAATTAACTGGCTGGTTCACTGAGTTGTGGTGCCCTATCTGGGTTGAATAGATGTTTGTTGACATCTCCCCAGGAAAGGCCACCCAACAGTCACTAAGAAGTAGAGGGGGGGCTGGAGAGATGGCTCAGTGGTTAAGAGCATTGCCTGCTCTTCCAAAGGTCCTGAGTTCAATTCCCAGCAACCACATGGTGGCTCACAACCATCTGTAGTGAGATCTGGTACCCTCTTCTGGTCTGCAGGCACACACACAGACAGAGTATTGCATACATAATAAATAAATAAATAAATAAATAAATATTAAAAAAAAAAGGGCTGGAGAGATGGCTCAGTGGTTAAGAGCATTGCCTGCTCTTCCAGAGGTCCTGAGTTCAATTCCCAGCAACCACATGGTGGCTCACAACCATCTGTAATGAGGTCTGGTGCCCTCTTCTGACCTGCAGACATACACACAGACAGAATATTGTATACATAATAAATATTAAAAAAAAAAAAGTAGAGGGAACTAAATCACAGTCAAACCCCATCCAGCAAGGAAGAGGCAGTCATAAAGAAGACCAGGCTGACTTCAACCTGCTCCCCTCTAAGATCTGCTGCCACCTTCCTGCCCCTAATTCCACCCCACAAACTTAACTAGACATGGTTTCAGATGACTCAAAACCAGTCTCCCCAGATGTTTATTCTAACAGATCCTCCCGGCAGCTGGGGGCCTGCATTGGCTCTCCACTGCTCTGAGCTCACCCCAAGACTTTCCAGCCCCAGCCTACCCTTCCTCTCTCTAATGCCCAACTCCACCCATTCCAACTGCCTACCCTGACTTCCCAGGAAGTCTTAATCACCTTCCAGGGCACCACCAAACCATGTCTGAAGCTACAAGCCACTCCTGCTCCAGAGCTATTTCCCTCTATACTTAGTACCTACAACCCATCTCATTCTTTGTAGCTTTCAGTGCATTCTATCTTTTCCATTTTTAAAAAAACATTGATATAGTTGAGGAGGGAGCACATGTGGAGGTCAGAGGACAACTTTGGTCATCAGTTCTCTCCTTCCACTGGGTGAGACCTGGAGATCTAACTCACCTGCTTAAGCTGAGAGGCATCTCCTTGGCCCTATGCCATCTTTTCTTCTATGTGGGGGATTCAAACCAAGGCCTCATGCATGATAGACAAATGCTCTACAACTGAGCTTCATTCCCAGCCCCTCATGTTGTAATAGTTCATCTCTCTTTCTCCTTCTCTCTCTCTCTCTCTCTCTCTATCACACCCTATATATATATATATATATATATATATATGTTACATTTATTTGTGGGGGATTATGGACATTATAGAACAACCTGTGGAGTCAGTTCCTCCCCTTCCACTGTGTGGGTCCTGATCACACGCAGGTGGTCAGGCATGACGGCAGTGCCCTCACAGCTGAGTCAGCTTCCCAGCCTGTGATGACTCTCATCTTAACTGGACCTACATTCAACTAAGAGACATGAATCAGGAAAAATTAACTAAGGGGGAAAGGCCCTCCCAAGAATAGGGGGTTGTGTTGCTTTTCTTGGTTAACGAATAAAGAAACTGCCTTGGGCTGTTGCTAGGGCAGAAGTTAGGTAGGCGGGAAAGACAGAACTGAATGCTGGGAGAAGGAAAGAGTGAGGGAGACGCCATGGATCCTCCACCTGAGACAGACGCCAGTTAGAATCTTTGCCAGTAAGCCACTGCCAAATGGCGATATACAAATTAACAGAAATGGGTTAAATTAATATAAGAGCTAGCCAATAAGAAGCTAGAGTTAATGGGGCAAGCAGTGATTTAATTAATACAATTTCTGTGTGGTTATTTCAGGGCTAAGCTAGCCGGGTGGCCAGGACAAACAAGAAGTCTGGCTCTCCTTGCAACAGGGGGCACCTTTTGGAAGAGGCCCAGACATAAGAGGTCTGAGGAATTCCAGCATGTACTGAAGCTCTCTCCAGGAGCAGTGCCAGACTGGGACTGTTAAACACACTGGACTGACAGCTAGAGTTCTCAGGTTCTCTAGTAGTAGATGCCACTGTTGAACTACCCAGCCTCTGCTGTGGAAGTCAAGTTAATAAGGTTCCATTCATAATATACGCTCGTTCTATTGGTTCTGTTCTAAATTAAACATTCTTTCACTGTTTGTGGGTATGCTCTTCCACTCTCAAGTATGAATTCCCTGATTAAATCACATTCCCAATGCTCTTACCTGGGTCCCTGGCCTGCCTTAGAGCACAGCTCAGCATGGTGCCCAGGAAGGATCCAGGGCACATGAACAATGTGCCTGAGAGCAGGGATCAAGTCTTTTGCTTTCTGAGCACATGTGACTCCTGTGTTAACAGGAGTAACAAGGACATATGAAGGCTGAGGCAAAACTCCCACATGTAGTCACCCCAAAAGGTCTTACTTCACTGAGAACTCCTGAGTTTTTAACTCAAGACAAGAGATCCAGACTATTCAGGGATAAGACACAGGATTCTGTGCATTAAGTTCTGCAGATGGCTCTGATGTGGTGGTATGTAGCCTGGCACCACCAGGCACAAGGACCACATGAAGGACTTATCCTGTTCCCCAAGAGCCCACCTCATATCTCTGACCCCAAGCTTGCACCCTCCTCTCCATCCAGAACAGCAAAGCAAAAAGGATACGCTCTGGCGTTTTCCACCAGGGGTCCCTGCCCAGATACCAGCATCCGCTTGTTGTGGCACTGCAAGAAGAGTTTCATGGGGCTGTGCGAGAGAATGACTTGGTCTGGATCCACCTACAGAGACAACCAAGAAACAGGAAAACAGGGGACGATATAGGCTTGAGAGAGAATAACAGGGAGACCGTCGATGGGCTCTGTCACTGGAGGGGAGGGGCTCATCGTCGAAAATACAAAGTACGAAAGCTTTTCCTAGCACCTGACACTTTCTAAACTTACCTAAATAGGAATGAGAACTTACCTTGGGCCAGGAATATAGCTCAGTGACAGAGTGCTAGTCCAGCACGCATGAGAGCATGGGTTCAATCCCTTGGGTGTCGGGGTGTGGGTGCCTAATTTAATTCTCAACATACAAAACAAGAAAAGCATTATCAGATTTAAGATCTAACTGTTCACCAATACTGCTGGGCTTAGCTTGGAGACCTACTGAGATTTCTTTCTTTCTTTTTTAAAGATATATAGATATATCTATATATCTATATATTTTATATATATATATCTATATCTATATCTATATCTCTATATATATATATATATATATATATATATATATATATATATATATGTGCATTGGTGTTTTGCCTGCATGTATATCTGTGCGAGGGTGCCAGATCCCCTGGAACTGAAGTTACAGTTGGGAGCTGCTGCTATGTAGGTGCTGCTGTGTAGGCACTGGGAATTGGACCTGGGTCCTCTGGAAGAGCAGCCAGTGCTCTTAATATCTCTCCAACCCCACCCCTGAGATTTCTTCATCCCTTACTTGGAAACCACAGGCTTTACAAGCATATTCTTTGTCACTGTTGTAAAAAAAAAAAGTCTTGGACCTTGATAATGTGTTTTCAGTTCTACCTCTCCAGCGCTGAGTACTGAACCAGGACCTTGCAAATACAAAGCAAGTGTTCTATCATTGACTCATACTCTCAGCCCAGGGTCTACTTTGTGTGTGTTATGTGCACGTGTGTGCATATGTATGTGGGAGATGCAAGTGTGGAGAACCAGAGGTCAGCACTGGATGTCTCTCTCAGACAGTCTCTATCTTATTGAGTCTCATTCAACCTGGCTCCCTGTTTTGCTAGACTGGCTAACAGGCTAGATTGGCTGCTCAGCAAGCCTCGGGGACACAGCTGCCTCCAATCCTCCCCCAACCCTGGAATTACAGATGTGCCACCAAGCCTGGCTTTTTAGATGGGTGCTAAAGATCAAACTCAAGCACTTTGCCCACTGTGCCATCTCCCCAGCAATCTCCAACAATGTAGTCTTTATCCAGAGTGACTATTATTTTGAGATGGGGTCTCACTACACAGCTCGAGCTGACCTGAGACTTGTGGTTAATCTCTTTCCTCAGTCTCCTATGTGCCAAGATTACAGAGGTGTGCACGACCACACCAGGTTCCTCAGAATGTTTTGGGGGCCCCTTTATGGAAAGAGTTTAAAGGTTCTAGTTTCATTCCTCTACCCTGGATTCAACCTCAGCCAGCACCACCTAATCAATCAGCCTTTATTGAATCTCTTGGTTACAAAGAACCCCTTCGCAAAACTAGAGGAACTGCAAAGGGGCAAAGATGCTCGGCTTTAGGAGGACAGCACTCACGGAGCTGTACAGCTGCTGGCTGTGTGGATGGGTAGGGTTGTTATTTCTTTGACACAAGGTCTCACTATGCAGCCCAAGCCACCTACAACTCATAATCCTGCCTTAGCTTCTCAGGTACCTGTTATCAGCCTGTACTAGTATTACTGTTAACAAGAGCTGCTACGGCACAGTCCCATCTGTACCGTGGAATGCCGAACACATGTGATCTTGTGGTGTAGGAGGGTCTTCTTTCCATGTGTTGCTTTTATTAGTTAAATAAAGAGACCACCTTGGCCTTTTGATAGGACAACAGCTTAGATAGGCAGAGTGACAGAACAGAATGCTGGGAGAAAGGAGGCAGAGACAGAGAGCCACCCGCCATGAAGCTGCCAGGTCAGACAGGCTGAATCTTTTCCAGTAAGCCACAAGCCCATGGTGACATACAGATTAATAGAAATGGGTTGAATCAAGATATGAGAGTTAGCCAATAAGAGGCTAGAACTAATGGGCCAGGCAGTGTTTAAATGAATACAGCTTCTGTGTAATTATTTCGGGTAAAGCTAGCCGGGCGGCAGGGAACAGGGCGGGACGAAAAGCAGCCCACTCCATTTACTACAATCTTGGCTTTCAGGGACCAAACCTCTAGAAGAGTCATAAAGACAATAAACTAAACTGCTGGGCTGGGACTACAGCTCAGCTGGTAGAATGCTTGCCTAGCATGCACGAAGCCCTGAGTTTAATCCCCAGCACATAAACCAAGTATGGCAGTGCACAGCTGTGATCCCAGAATTAGTGAAGTGGAGGCCAGATGTCCGAGTCATCATCAACTATTACAGATACATGAGTCATTGTCTCAAACACTAAAACATAAAGGACAGATCCCTGTCCTCTCCCCACCCCCCTAAAACAGGGTGTCATATAGCCCAGCCTAGTTTTGAAAAACGGCTATGATAAGGGTGTACCACCATAGACAGTAATGCCACGCTGAGGTCGTGCTCAGGGCTTCACGCATGCTAGGCATGAATTCTGTTTACAGAATTACATGAACTACACCCTCAGTCCCAAGGGCAGGACTGCTGTGCTCACTCAACCATGTGTGGACACCTGTGTGTAAGACTCTACTGCTGTCATCATAAATCTACACTAGAACTTTAAGACGCCCACTGCCCAGTAAACCACCACCTAAGGAAGGGGATGTAGGGCTGGAGGGTCCAACAGGAGCCTGTCTTTGGGTTTCCATGCTCTGGCTGCCTCTTACCTTGCACCCCAGAAGGCCTGACAGCTCTTGAGCTTTGCTATGTTGTAAGATGTTCCCAGCATTTGTGACAAAAACCACAGGTACCCGCAGCTGCCCCTGGGAGTTTAGCAGCTTGCCGAATGCTTCTAGAGCAGCTGGGATCACTCTGTGGCCTCGAACCAGCACTCCATCAATGTCAAACAGTAAGCCAAAGGTGGGAGGGCTCTGTACAGAGGGAAAGAGAATTGGCACTGCATGAGAGACAGAGGAAATGAAGGGAAACGACCATCATACAGAAAGGGTCATCCTCAGGTCACTGTTTGAAAATGGCATCAGAAAGAACAAGAGAGGAAAGCATGGCCTGGCTCCTCTCCTTTTCTTGTCTGGCGGTGCTAGAAATCAGACTTTACACATGGTAGTAAGAACTCTACCACTCAGCTACACCAAGGCATGGGATTTCTGATTGGCCAAATCCACTTACAGCAAAGAAGTTTACCAAGTTCACCAAACACAGAACTACTTTGTCGAAATTAATTTTGCACCAGGCAGTGGCACACATCTGTAATCCCAGTACTCAGGAGGCAGAGGCAGGCAAGTCTAGAGTTTAAGACCAGCTTGGGGCTGGGCGGTGGTGGTGCATGCCTTTAATCCCAGCACTGGGAAGATGGAGACAGGTGGATCTCTGTGAGTTCAAGGCCAGCCTGGTCTACAGAGTGAGTTCCAGGACAGCCAGGACTGTTACACAGAGAAACCCTGTCTTGAAAAACAAAACCAAAAAGACCAGCTTGGGTTACACAGTGAATCTGAAGCCAGCATTGGCTACATATAAGCAATTTTAAAACAGGAAATAAAGGAATCCAAAGAAAAACATAACCCTGCCATTTTAACACAACCACTTTCTATTTTCCCTGTTTACTCTTCTCTACCCCCATGCAATTAAATACAATTATGTACCTTGTTCTCTTTGGGTGATAAACAATTTAACCAGTAACACTGGCCTTCATAACTATATTTTTAAAAATCCTTTTTAAAATTTAGTTTACATAGATGAGTGTTTTGCTTGGATGTCTATATGAGTGTTTTGCTTGGATGTCTATATGTGCACCATATGCATACCTGATACCTGAAATGACTAGAGAGCATGTGGATCCCTTAGAACTGGAGTTTGGGTAGTTGTAAGGCACCACGTGGATACTGGGGATGGAACCCATGTCCTCTATAAGAAAGCAAATGCTCTTAACTACTGAGCCATCTATCCAGCCCCCCCCCACACACACACATACACCCCGAAAAGGGTCTCACTTTGTAGACCTGGCTGGCCTGGAACTCACTATTTAATTAGGGAATCTTGGAGTCTGTGAAATCCTCCTGCCCCAGCCTTCCAAGTGCTAGGATTAAAGTTATTCCCCACCACTCCTAGCCATAGCCATCTTGCAAGAGTTAGTTTTAGGGCTGGGAACATACCTCAGTGGTAAGTCGACTTGCCTAGTATGCTTAATTCCCAACATCATTTTTTTAAAAATCCGTTTAAGCCGAGAAGTGATAATGCTTAATCCCAGCAATCAGGAGGCAGAGGCCGGCAGACCTCTGAACTTGAGGTCAGCCTGATCTACAAAGTGAGTGTCAGGACAGTCAGGATTACACAGAGAAACCCTGTCTCGAAAAACAAACAAACAAACCATTTTAGAATCATCTTTAGGCATACTTGTAATCCCAGAACCTAGGAGGAGGCCAACCTGAGCTGCATAGCAAGTTCAGGCAAGCCTGTGCTATATGACTTTGTCTCAAAAGAAAAAAAATGTGTTTTCATTTTAACTTCTTTTGGGGGGGGGGAGGTTGAGACAGGATTTCTCTGTGTAGCCCTGGCTATCTTTGAACTTGCTCTGTAGACCTGGCTGGCCTTGAACTCAAAGATCCTCCTGCCTCTGCCTCCTGAGTGCTGGGATTAAAGACATAGCCGCCACCACCCAGTTAATGGCATTGTTTTTGCCTAGCATGTATAAGGCTCACAGTTCTATCACCCAACCATTTCCCAATCTCTAAATAATCTTTTTTTGAAAACTCGTTCCATTTCTTAGTTTATAAGCTGCCTGTTAATATAAGAGATATTTCTCAATTATCAAAACAAATGAACTAGCCTAACCCGTCTTCCATTTCTCTTTGGTTGGAGCCAACTAGGTCAAGCCACCCTTAGAACACATGCAGTCTGTGCACAAAGCTCTATCAGTGGTGACCAATCCAAATCACAGCTATGAACAGGCATGGCCTTTCATCCTAGCACTGGAGGTTGGGGCCAGCCAGGGCTATACACTGAGGCCTGTCTTAATAAACAAAACATCAACCCAGATGATCAGTGCTCGAGTCCCTCATCGAATAGCTGACAGGACAGAATGAGCAGCTAGCCTTGAAAACAAGCCACTAAGACAGCAGCGCTTTCACAAATAGGAATCAATATAAAGTTTTTAAGTTCTCAGGAAACTAAAGAGAGAACCTTGGACCTCCAAGCGCCCTACCGCTTGAACGTTCTAAGTTTGATAATTACATACAATGGAAGGATCAAATTAAACAGGCCGAGTTCCCTGGAAAAGAATTCCGAGCTAGCACTGACTGATGCTAACAGTACCCTCAGTGAACTGAAGAGGAGCAGCAGGCAGGCAGGGGAAGGATCACCGATGCTTCTCGTTTGGAACCTGTGGGGGCAGGTGTGGAGAACTCAGGGCCTTGGAGAGACAGCTCGGTAGTTAAGAACACTTGCTGCTCTTACAGAGAATCCAAGTTTGGTTCCCAGCACCCACAACAGGCAACTCACAGCCATCTACAACTTCAGTTCCAGGGGATGCGATGCCTCTGGCCTACAAAGGCACTTCCATTCAGACACATACATCGACACACACACACACTTATACACACATACATGCAGACACACACACCTACATGCACACGCAGACTCACACATCCACCCACACATGCAGATACACCCACACACCTACACACACATACAGACACACACCTTCACACACACACACACACACATGCAGACACATCCACCGACACACACATTCACCCACACATATGCAGATACACACCTATACAAACATATGCAGACACATGCAGACACACACAGACACACACACATAGACACACACACACAGATTTTGAAAATCTATTCTTGGGGAACTAGGAAGAACACCACCACTTAAGGACACAACATATGAAAGTCATAAACACCAGAGAAACAGCAGTCAAGGTAAGATGGGAAAACCAAGAGGGTATAAATTAAGGGGGTGAAACTGTGACTGTCTGTGTCAGGTAAACTAGGAAGTAGAGTGGCTAATGGCTCCATTTCCCTCCCACTAAGCAGGTGTGAGCTCCCATCCTCCCACTAAGCAGGTGCAAGCTCCCATCCATCCTTCCTCCCACTAAGCAGGTGTGAGCTCCCATCCATCCTTCCTCCCACT